GAAAAATCGAAACATTCGAAACATTACGGACTTGAAAAACTGATAAATCGAAAAATCGGGAAGTCGAGATATCCAAACATCCAAAATTGAGAAATCAGGGCATCCAAAATCGAAAAATTACAAACGCCAAACATTGAAAAATCGAAAAATTTAAAAATCAAAAAAGTGAAGAATCGGATATTTGAAAAATCGTAAATCTGAAGTAACGGAAAATTCAGAAATCCAAAAATAAAAAATTGCGAAAACAGTTCAAAAATTTGAAAATAAAAATCGAAGTATGTACTGAAAAATCGAGAATCGAAGAATTAAGGAACCGAAATATGAAAAAATCGAGAAAAAACCCAAAAATCGGGAAATCCAAAACTACATTGAAAAAACCGAAAATTCGACAAATTGAAAAATTGAACAATCAAAAACCTCCAAAGTCGAAAAATTAATAAAATTAAAAATCGAAACATTAAGGAAATGAAGAACTGAAAAATCGAACAGCCGGGAAGTTGGGAAATCGAAACATCGAGTATTGAAAACTCAAGACATCGAAAAATCGAAAAGTTACAAACGCCAAAATATGAAAAATCGAAAAAAATTGAAGTAATGAATGATTCAGAAATTGAAAAATAAAAAATTGCGAAATCGAAAATTTGAAAGATCGAGAAATCGAAGAATCGAAAAATCGAAAAATTGAAAAATCTTAAAACTACAATACCGAAAATTTGAGTAATCAAAAAATTGAAAATAGAAAAATTGTAGTAGTTTTTAAATTTCGAAAATCCATTGTCTTGTTTTTGAAGTAGTTTGAAAGAATTCCGGGTATTCCTTTTATTTTGTTTTTAGAATAGTTTGAAAGAATTTCTGGAACCTCTTTTGTTTTATTTTTGAAGTAATTTGAAAGAATCTCGGGGACCCCTTCTTTCTGATTTTTGAAGTAGTTTTGAACAAGCTCGGAGACCCCTTGTGTTTTGACTTGAAGTAGTTTGGTCTGATTTTCGAAGTATGTGATTTGAAAGTATCTTGGTAATACCCCTGTTGTTTTATTTTGAAGTAATAATCGAATAAACATCAAAAAAATTTAAAAATCTACAATTTATAAAATCGAAAATAAAAATCAAAGAATTGAAAAACCGAGAAATCGAAGAATTAAAGAACCAAAGTATGAAAAAATCGTGAAAAAAATGGAAAATTTGAAAAACCAAAAAAAAAATTCGAGAATCGAAAAACTGAAAAATTCCAAAACTAAAACATTGAAAAATCAAAAAGCAAAAAATCTAAAACTCCAGAAATTGAAAAATGTGAAAAAAATCCAAAAATTAAAAAATTGAAAAATAGAAACATTAAGGAATTGGAAAACTGAAAAATCGAAAAATCGGGAAGTCGAGACATCGAAACGTCGAAAATTGAGAAATGAAGACATCGAAAAGTTACAAACGCCAAAACATGAAAAATAGAAAAATTTAAAAATCAAAAAACTGATGAATCGGAAAACTTAAAAATCGTAAAACTGAAGAAATGGAAAGTTCAGAAATCCAAAAATAAAAAAAATCGCGAAAGATCGAGAAATTGAAGAATCGAAAAACTGAAAATAAAAAAGTTGTAGTAGTTTTGAAATTTCGGAAATTCCTTGTCTTGTTTTTGAAGTAGTTTGAAGGGATCTCGAGGACCCCTCATATTTTATTTTGAAGTAGTTTGAAACAATCTTGGGGAGCTCCTTGTTTTATTTTTGAAGTAGTTTTAAAGAATCTCCGTGACCCCTTCTGTCTGGGTTTTGAAGTAATTTGAAACAATCTCGGGGACCCCTTATATTTTGACTTGAAGTAGTTTGAGAGAGTGTCGGTTACCCCTGTTGCTTTATTTTGAAGTAATTTTGAAAGTCGGAAAGTCCAAAGATCTAGAAATCGAATCAAGAAAAAAAAATAAAATGTACAATTTAAAAAAATTGACAATAAAAATCGAAGAATTGAAAAATCGAGAAATTGAAGAATTAACGAACCGAAATGTGGAAAAATCGAGAAAAATTGAAACATTTAAAAATCGAAAAAAAATGGAAGAACGGAAAAATTTGAAAAATCCGAAAACTAGAGTACTAAAAAATTGAGAAAGCAAAAAATCGAAATATGGGGGAATTGAAAATAAGAAAAATTGAAAAATCGAAAAATTAAAAAATTTAAAAATTGACACATTAAGGAATTGAAGAAGTGAAAAATCGAAACCTTGAGAAATCAAGACACCGAAAAATCGAAAAATTACAACTTCGAGGTTTGAAAGGATCTTGAGGACTTCTGATGTTTTATTTTGAAGTAGTTTCAACGAATCTCAGGTACCACCTATTGCTTTATTTTTGAAGTAGTTTGAAATAATTTCCAGGACCTCTTTTAAAGTATGTACACAATTTGAAAGAATCTCGGGAACCCTTTGTGTTTTGTTTTTGAAGTAGTTTTAAAGAATCGTGATCATTTTAATAATTTCAATAATAAATTTACGTGTATTAAAACAACTTTTAGGAATATAGCACTCTTATTTGTTTTTTTTAATTGTCAAAAAAACAGGGTCATAACAAAATTTTGCGAATATTGTCTGATATTACACCCGTAGAGGTGGTCCACCTCGGAAAAATTGCCCAATATATTTCACCACTATTTTTTTTTTCTGAAAAATAAACTCACTTCCTAAAAATGTACATTTTTTGTTTACTTCCTATTTTTGTATTCCGTATTCGATATTTCTCAAATATTTTCTTGCTTTTATTTCCCGAGCGCAAACAAAGGAAGTATTAAAATAGGGTACATCCCACCAACGGCTACTTTCATGGTTTCTGTACGTTATATGACTTCTAGAGTACAAAACAATAGGTTTCCCTTTTCCCTATGTCTGTCTGTGTGTCTGCCGTCTGTCCGGAGTTTTTTAGACAGATAATCTTCAAAACTACTGAATCGATTGTTATAAAATTTTAGATGTTATATATAAATATCGTGTACCAATAACTTGATAACGTCCGCTCATTACCCATCAAATTTGTGAAATTTTGTTGAATCTCATAATCTGCCTTGTTCTTCTACAAAAGTATCGGCGGTTCAGTTGCTGCTGTTTTTACCTAACAGATGAGAAGTCCGGGATTTGAAACTGTAGTTTTTTTTCGTTAGATGAAATAAATTTAATAAAATTAATCACTCTCTAATTTTTTATTGATCAAATTAAGAACGAGCCAACCCATTTACTCAAAAATGTGAGAATACAGTAATTTTACGCCCGTCTATATTTAATAATAATGAAATAAAATCGACACTTAAAATTCATTTATTCATCCCTTCTAAAAATTCTATGACGTCTTCTTAAAATTTATATTGCGATATGCTCCTTTATTGGTGATTCAACAATAAATCAAACTTTTTTGAACGGTTTTTACAGTATGTTTCAAAAAATTATTCAGAAAAAGTAACAATTATTTAAAAAAAAAATCGCTTTGCTATGATTTAAGGAAACTTGTAACTTTTATCAAGCGCTAGTTTATATTTCGTAAAACCCGCTGAACCTGAAAAGTATTTCTATTAAAAAAAAATTTATAAAACATAGCAGAGCGAACTGTAAAATTCTAAGATAACGAGCCGCCCTTGATCACGATAATTTATAACCGAATAACCCTTCGCGTGAAACCGTCAATCTACTCTAAATTAATTACTTATTATCTGGGTTTAAATGGTATCCCGAACGAAATAAGCCCAGACACACGTTCAGAAACGAACTACTCGATTATAAATTATGTTGATCATACAATTCTCCCGCCTACTTTACATTCAAAGTACGATCTTCACCTCGAACACTGTAAACAAACACCTCTTGAATTCTTAACCAACTGTCACCAGTGTCACCACTTTTAACAAATATTCTCCCCACATTCTAACTCTAATTCAAAACGTACTTACTTTCCTTCTTGAAACTCAGACCCTTGACATCACGCCGCAAAACACAATTTCTTCAAACCGCTCCACTTTAAGGTCAAGAAGACGTACGATTATTGAAAGCCGCCCTTTATACACCGCCGCCGGGAATAACTTATTGCATTTCGTTTTTCTGATACAGGCTGCTCCGAATTTCACGCATATTAGCTCCCGTGAATAAACCGCCTCGAGCGAAATTTCAAGAAAAAATTGCTACAAATTATTCGTTCTTAACAGCACATTTCCAAGTTTATTAAACGGGTTAAATGATTTTGAGACCTAATACTCGGTGGGGTTAAAAATAAGAGCTTTGTGTTAAAGGATCTCCTTCCCTTTTACTTTAAGTAATTGAGTTCAGCCAGATCGAAGCTGCGAAGAATGGGTTAATTTCATCGTCTTTTATACAAAGTGACTAAATTAGGAAAGGACTTAAATTTATCTTATGCTGGTCTTAAATGAAATTTACATTGTATCGAGTTTTATATCCAGGATGTTAGGAGGGTTAGGGGGACGTCTGTGCTGAAGGGGTGGTTTATTACGTTTACTGGAGATAGAAAATAATTTATGTAAGTATCAAGCTTTAAAAATAGTTGGCAGATGTGGAAGTGATCGGCTTTAAGTCGAGTTTTTTTGTCCACCGGCACAAACCAGATTCTTGGAAATGCAATACCAACTGACTTTGCTGGGAATCGAGACGAAAAACCAATGTCGCGCGACATTAGACCGAAATGACATTTCTACATTTCCTTACGGTCACAAAAAGTAAAAATGTCTACATTTCCTTCTCTGTTCATACTACTTCTGACTTTACTTTGTTACATATTTCATCAAAAATTTTATTTATTGTTAATACTCCATATACATCTAAAGTTTATAAATACTATTACTTACATAATATTGCCTAATTATAATACAGCTTAATGATTTTAAATTAATTCTAAATTAAAAATCTACACCTAAACAAATAAGTAAAACACTAAACTCACTTCCTACATAATAAATACTAAATAAATATAATAATAACAAAATAATACTAAAAAAGAGGATAATAATTACATCATAAGTTAACTGCTATTAAAATCCAGTGCCGAGTGAAAGCATTTCGAACCTGAGTGGTAAATTATATTCGCTGACAGTCTGAAACGATGTGTTTTATATTATTTAGTTTTGTAAAAAAAAAATAATAAATAAATACTCACAGAGCTGGTGGTTGGAGACACATCGTTTTGAGGACTGCTGGAATTAGCGTTGTTGTTCAGCGAAAAGTTGGGGGTCTTTTTCGATTTGTGGATGAGTTTGCGTGTTTTTGGGGGCACCGACCTGTACAAATTACTACGTTTTTGATATTTTTGGTGTCAAAAATGTGAATTCTTACAAACACAGATTTTCCGGTAGATGATTGGCTCTGTTTCGCTTGCTGTAGATGGAGGGTCTGGCCCATTCCACTTCCATTTGTTGGCCAGAGTAGATTAAGAAATGGGACACTTCAAAAAATATTTTTGTTAATTATTTTTTCGAAATTGTTTAACATTCTACCGAAAAAAAATTTGATTTTACTTACTTGCTTCTAGCAACTGGAAGGCTATTTCAGCGCTAGCTCTGTTGTAAAAATGAACAAATGCGTAGTTGTCCTTTTTGTAAATTTTCTCAAATGTCAAATTTTTTAAAATTGTGCCCATGAAGTCCTTGAAACGGTCGCTCGACCAGTGCAGAGGGACGTTTTTGAAGTAGAGGATTTTGACCTGAAATGGAAAAAATGTACTAAATGGGAGTGGTGAGATTAAATGTGTATTGAAATTTGATTCTGTATACTTTAAAAGTAAAAATACTAAATCATCGAAAAAAAGTGCTCTAGTAGACCATGAAATTTATTTTTAAAATAATAATGTTGGCACTATAGTTATTTGACCGTAACTGTCAAACAGAATAAAGACGGAGTAGAAAAATTCAAAAATCGGAAAATTGAAGAATCCAAAAATTACAAAAATTGAATATTTAAAAATTCGAAAACTGAAATGATGAAAAATTTTAAAAAATCGAAGATACGGAAAATTAGAAAATCAACAAGACACATCAAAAAAACGAAACATTAACATATTGAAAAGTTGAAAAATTTGCAAGATCTAAATGATGACAAATTGGAAAATCAAAAACTTGAAAATTCGAGAAATCTAACATTACAAATAAAAAATTTTAAAAATCGGAAAACCGAGATGCCAAGAAAAAGAGTTATTTTTTATTAATCGATGAACCGAAAAATCGAGAAAAAGAAGTTGAAAAATTAAAATATCAAAAAATTGAAAAATTGAGAAATCGGGAAAATTTAAAATTTTAAACTGACTAACTAGAATTACAGAAAATTGAAAAATCGAAACATCAGAAAGTTCGAAACACTAACCAAAATCTGTTGATACGACCAAACTAATAATAATAAAAACGTTGTCTAATTATGCCCATCAACAATTTTATCAAAATGCTATTTAAGTTTCGTAAACCAACATATTCTTCTACTTGTGTCATTCTTTTCAGTTTCAATTTTTAATTTTTTAATTTCTCGCTTTTGAATTTTTAACAATCTCGAATTAAAATTTCTCGATTTTTTTAATTTTTCAAGGTTTTCTATTTTTATTGTTTTTGTTGTTATAATTTCTGGGTAGGTATTTTAATTCTTAGTGTTCTGAATTTTTCATATTTTGTCTCTCGATTTTAAATTTTTGGTTTACAATTTTTCGATTTTTCGGTTTCAAATTTTTCGATTTTTGTTGTTCTTTTTTAAAATTTTCAACTTTTGGATTTTTAAATTTCTCCATTTTTAATTTTTCAGTTTTTTGATTTTTCAGTAATTTCGTCTTTAAATTTCTTGATTTTGCAATTTTCCGATTTTACAATTTATAGATTCTTCATTTCTTCATTTTTTACTTTTGGATATTTTAGCTTTTGAATTTTTCATTTTTCGATTTTTAAGATAAGGTCACGTCAGGTCAAGTCAAGCCATTTTTAATTTTTTTATTTATACAATTTTTTTATATTTTAATTGTTGGTTTTCTTAATGTTTTGAATTTTATTTCTCGATTTTTAATTTATCGTTTTTCAATTTTTTTTGTTTTTAACTTGAATTTTTTAGTTCTCCCGTTTTCAATAATAATTCGTCTTTCGATTTCTTTTCGATAGATATTTTAATTTTTGTTTTTTTTTTCGGTTTTTAGATTTTTCGTTTCTTCAATTTTTCGTTTTTTTTTCTTTAGCCTTTTCCAATTTTTCTGTATTTTAGCTTTTGAATTTTTCACTTTCTCAATTTTAAATTTTTCAGTTTTCCGATTTTCGTTCCTATTTTTCAATTTTTACAATTTCTCGGTTTTAATTTTGAAATTTTTGGTTTTTGAATATCGTATATTTAGGTTTTTTCAATTTTTCTTTAGCATCTGTTTTGAAATTCTGGGTTCCAAATTTTTTCGTTTCTCGATTTTTAATGTTTCAGTGTCAATTCGAAATTTTTCGATTTTTTAGATCAGGTTGGATTAGGTCAGGTCAGGTTAGGTCAAGTCAGGTGATTTTTCATTTCTTTTTTTACAATTTTTGGATATTTTAATCGTTTGTTTTCTTACTCTCTTGAATTATATTTCTCGATTTTTTATATTTTGTTTTTTAATTTCCAAATTTTCAGTTTTTATTTTTTTCACTTTAGAATTTTTGAACTTTTGAATTTACCCATGTTTAATTTTTCAGGTTTTTGGTTTTTCCGAATTTTCAATAAATTCATTTTTTGATTTCTTGATTTTGCAATTTTTCGATTTTACAATTATTTATAGATATATATATATATATATATATAATGTTTTGTTTTTTCAGTTTTTAATTTTTAATTTCTTCAATTTTTCGAAAGTCTTCAATTTTTATGCGTTTTACTTTTGCCTTTAATTTTTCCATATTTTATCTTCTGAATTTTTCAGTTTCTCGATTTTTAATTTTATTTTTTAAGATTTTTCGTTCCTATTTCCAATTTTTACAATTTCTCGTTTTTAAATTTGAAATTTGTGGTTTTACTGTTTTTGGATATCGTAAATTTAGATTTTTTCAATTTTTGAAATTTTAGTATCTGTTTTGAAATTCTCGATTTTATTATTTTTCATTTCTCCATTTTTAATTTTTCAGTATCTCAATTTTAAATTTTTGCAATTTTTATATCAGATCAGGTCAGGTCATTTTTCTTTTTTTGTTTCTACAATTTTTGGATATTTTAATTGTTGGTTTTCTTAATTTTTTGAATTATTATTAATTTCCCGATTTTTAATTTTTCAATTTTTCGATTTCCCCGAATTTTCAATAATTTCATCTTTCGATTTCTCGATTTTGTAATTTTTCGCTTTTACAACTTGGTTTTTTAATTTTGCCTTTTTCAATTTTTCGATATTTTATCTTTTGAATTTTTTAGTGTCTCGATTTTTAATTTTTGGGTTTTAAGTTAAAAATTTTTCATTTTTACGATTTTTGGATTCGTAAATTTAGTTTTTTTTCAATTTTTCAAATTTTAGGGTCGGCTTTGAAATTCTCGGTTTTAAATTTTTTCACATCTCTATTTTTAATTTTTCGGTACCTCGAATCTAAATTTTCAGTCTCAGTTCAAAATTTTTCGATTTTTTCGATCGAGTCAGGTTAGGTCACGTCAAGTCAGGTCAGGTTAGGTCATTTTTCATTTTTTGTTTTTACAATTTTTGGATATTTTAATTATTGGTTTTCTTAATTTTTTGAATTTATTTCTCGCCTTTTATTTTTCGATTTTTCAATTTCAAATTTTCCAATTTTATTTTTTTTAACTTCTGAATTTTTTATTTTCCGCATTTTTAATTTTTCAGTTTTTTGATTTTTCCGATTTTTCAATAATTTCATCATTTGATTTCTTGATTTTGCAATTTTTCAATTTTACAATTTATAGATAGTTCAATTTTTAGAGTTATCGTTTCTTAAATTTTTTGAAAGGCTTCAATATTTAGGTTTTTTACTTTTGTCTTTTTTCAATTTTTCGATTTTGTAGCTTTTGAATTTCTAGGTTTTAATTTTGAAATTTTGGATTTTTACAATTTTTCAAATTTTAGTATGTTTTGATATTCTTGGTTTTAAATCTTTGCATGTCCCGTTTTTTAATTTTTCAGTGTCTCGACTCTAAATTTTTCGAGTTTTAGCTCAGGTCAGGTCAGGTCACGTCATTTTCAATTTTTTGTTTTTACAATTTTCGATTTTTATTTTTTTTACCTTTGAATTTTTCACTTTGAGTTTTTGAATTTCTCGACTTAAATTTTTAGTTTTTGGATTGTTCCGATTTTTCAATAATTTCATCGCTGGGTTTCTTGATTTTATAATTTTTCGTTTTTACATTTTTTGGATGTCGTTGTTTTTGGTTTCCTTAAGTTTTCGTATTTTGTTTCTCAATTTTAAATTTTTCGATTTACAAGTTCTCGAATTTTCGGTTTCAATGTTTCGATTTTTATTGTTTACTTTTAAATTATTCAAGTTTTGAATTTTTAAATTTCTCCACTTTTAATTTTTCAGTTTTTTGAATTTTTCAGTAAATTCATCTTACGATTTCTTGATTTTGCAACTTTTGATTTTACAATTTATAGATATTTTAATTGTCGGGTTTTTCAATTTTTAGATTTTTCGTTTCTTCATTTTTTGAAGGCCTTTAATTTTTACAATTTTTACTTTTGATTTTTTCAGTTTTTCGATATTTTAGCTTTTGAATTTTTTATTTCTCGATTTTTAATTTTTCAGTGCCTCCAGGTCAGGTCACCTCATTTTTCATCTTTTGTTTTTACAATTTTCGATTTTTCAGTTTCAAGTTTTTCAATTTTTTTTTTCAAGTTTTAAATTTTTCAACATTTAAATTTTTGAATTTTTAATCATTCAGTTTTTCGATTTTTCCCATTTTTCCTCTTTCGATTTCTTTATTTTGCAATTTTACAATTTATATATATTTTAATTTTTGTTTTTTTTATTTTTGGATTTTTCATTTTATTGAATTTTAAGGTTTTTTACATTTACTTTTTGAATTGTTGCATATTTTAGCTTTTGAATTTTTCCGTTTCCCGATTTTTAATTTTTCAGTTTTCCGATTTTTCGATTCTATTTTTCACTTTTTACAATTTCTTGGTTTCAATTGTGAAATTTTTCGTTTTTACGATTTTTGGATATCGTAGATTTAGGTTTTTTTCAATTTTTAAAATTTTACCATCTGTTTGGAAATTCTCGGTTTTAAATTTTTCATTTTTTGAGTTTTAATTTTTCAGTGTCTCGAGTCTAAATTTTTCGATTTTTTAGTTAGGCAGGACAGGTCATTTTTCATTTTTTTGTTTTTATAATTTTTTCATATTTTAATTGTTGGTTTTCTTAATTTTTTAAATTTTATTTCTGGATTTTTAATTTTTCGAATTTTCTATTTCAAATTTTTCAATTTGTATTTTTTAACTTCTAATTATTTGGATTTTGGACGTTTCCGATTTTTCAATATTTTCGGCTTTATATTTCTTGATTTTCCAATTTTCGAATTTTTTGAAAATTCTAAAAATCGCTCTAATTATTTCATTTGGCGATTCTGAAAAACGATTCGAGTCATCGAAAAAAACGGGGCCGGAAATGACTTCTAGATCTCGAAATCTACAAGAAAATATGTTTGGTTAAGTCTCAAAAAGGGTCGAAAATGGCTCGAAATTTGATGGAGGAATAGTGCAAAATTTCACTTTTGAAAAAGTTGTCTAAAAATCCTCAAAAAAATCTGGGATCTGGCCGTGCTGGTTCCAAAAAAGTGTTCATGGTTAAGGCGTAATATTTTCTAAACATTGAGTTTGAGTTATCAAATTTTTATAATTTTTGTAATAAACGAGTTTTGTTGGACTGTACTAAATTTGTCAATGTGACCAAAATAATGGCATTTATCCAAAAATTTTGTATAGTAATTTCATAAAACAACACATCATTGTACTTGTGGTTTATGAATCCGCTTTGATTTTTTACCTTGGACAACCACATTTTCCCAACAAAATCCAATAATCGGAGGTCGTGGGTTCGATCTCCTCAAAGGCCACTTTTTTTCTTGTACTGTGACTGGTGTTATCTATTTTTTGAACGTATAAAAGTTGTAACAAAAGAAATCAAATTTCCCAAATTTATATAATACATAATTAAATATTTATATTCTTTTGAAGAAGCTGGAAACGTTGGACTGTACTTCAGGAACGAGAGAAGTTCTGTCTAAGTAACCTTAGACCATTTTTTATTAAAACGATATTAAACAAATTCAGCTACTTAAGTAAAACAATGCAAATAAATGAAAAATATTGAAATTTACTCAAATATTTCAAATATTTTTTATAGGGACTCTGTTTTGAAAACAGTTTAAGAACTTGTGACTGCAGCTTTTAAAGTGTATGAACACCTTAAATACCACTAGTAAAATAAAAACTTACTTTAAATATATATTTTTCAACTAAAAAGGTATTTTTTAAATAAAAAAATATTTAAGAAAACTCTTGATTAATATATAAATTGCTTGCTCTATATTACATATTTTTAAAAATAAGAGTAAATATTAAAAAGGATGGTGCTTCAGATGCGATAAAACTCGACATAAAGTCATTTACACATTTATTTCTCATACAATTTTGAATTTTAACATTTTAGTATTTTTAAAATCTCCAATTATGTCCAGTAATTTAAAATGTAAACCGTTTTAACGTACTTTTTTATCAAATTTCTCCAATTTCATGTCCGCCTGTACCTTTCCGACGCCATGCCGCTAATCCCAACCCGAACCCATAACCCCTAACCCACTACCATTGGCTTACCTCCGTCAGTACCATTGGATCAACGATGGGTTCAGGTTCCGCCCAGTCCACGTACAGCTTATGGTGCTTACCATCGCGGTCCCTCCAAATATTATTACCAACACCCGCCAGCATCCTCCTCCTAGCAATGGCGGCCACAGCGTGCGACTCGAACTCGACGAACGCAAACCCTCGATTCCGGCTCGGGTTCGTCCTCTCCGTGTAGACGATCACCCTCACCGCCCCGTCCACCAGCCGCATCAACTCGGCCTCGATCTCCCCTCTGGCCGTATCCCTCGGGACGTTCCCGAAGAACAACCTGCAGTTGTCCAGCGACACGTGCACCGAAATGTACGACCTCCTGGTCCTGCTCCTCACGTAGGTCCGGTTGAAGCGCACCACGGCCCGGTGGGCGTCCTCCACGCAGCAGTAGGTGGCGAAGCCGAAGCCGCGGTTGTTCCCGCAGAAGTCCATCATGAGGCGGAACTTGTAGATGGGACCCACCTGGGAGAACAGCGGGATGAGCTCGTCCTCGAAGAGGTCGCGAGGGAGGTTGCCGATGAAGACTTCGCTGCCCCGAGGGGGTGGTGGCGATGGTAACGGGTTGTGGTAGATGCGCTGGCCGTTGGACATCACGATGGGGTACTTTGAGGAGTGCATGGTGATGGGAATTGAGGAGCACGATGCACTTGCTGGTTACCGGACGAAGGAAGATCGATTAATGATGGGCAAAAATTAGCGTGGGGTTGTTGTGATTGGTTGAGAATTGGCGCGGATGAAAAAACCGTTGATTTGGCGGTGGTGGTGGTGATGGACGAAGGAAACTGAAGAGGTGTAATTAGAACCCGCGAAATATGAAGAAGCGCGGGTTTTCGACACGGATTTGTTGTTTGGGAACGAAAACATTTTGATTTTTTTTTTAAATGTAAGTTATGAAACTGCTTTAAGGGATGAGAGGTTTTTTTGAGCATAAAATATTTCAACATGGCAAAATTCAGTGAAATTGGACAGGAAAACGAGAACTGTTTTTTTTAAAAACGTTAAAAATATTAATTGAAAATTTTGGAAATTTTAAAAACAGTAAATAATAGTATAGATAGAAAATGAAAGACAATACAAAAAGTAAAAGTCTTAAATTATGAATTAATCAATTCAGAAAAGACACGTTCCAAGTCAATAAAATATAAGCCGAAATAATAAACAATATATTGACAACAATTTTTACAAACAAAACCCCTTTAGAAAAAAAAAAACGGAACTATTTTAATTCTAAAGCAAATAGTTTAAAGACCCTATTTTAAACTTACCTTTGGACCAAGTTTTTTTGAACTTTCAATAGTTTTTTTTGTATTTTTCAATTTTAAACTTTCTTAATTGCTCGATTTTTTATTTTTCGTTTTAATTTTTGAAACTGTTTTTTTTAAGATTTTTAGACATTGTAATTTTTGTTTTTTTTTATTTTTCCAATTTTGCTATTTGTTTTCAATTTATGGATTCTTGATTTTTCTTTTCTTTCATAATTTTACCACTTATAACTTTTCCATTTTTAGATTTTTTAACTATTGAAATTTTCAGTTTTCGATTGTTCTTGATTTTTCAGTTGCTAGATTTTTAATTTTTCAATTTCTCGTTTTTTAGTTTGTCAATTTTAATTTTGCATTTTTTGTTTTATAATTTTAAGAAATTCTAATTTTTCTGTTTCATGATTTGTAATACCTTAAATTCTCCGTAAAATTTTTGTATTTTTTAATGTTTCAAGGTTTCCTATTTTTCACTTTTCCTTTTTAGAAATTGTGGATATTTTAATTTTTACTTTTCTTAATTTTTCGTATTTTGTTTCTCGATTTTAAATTTGTCAATTTTTATTTTTTATTTTTGACTTTTTCAACTTTTAAAATTTTGAATTTCTCCATTTTTAATTTTTCATAATTTCTCCGATTTTTCAATAATTTCATTCTTCTTTCTACAATTTATAAATTTTTTACTTTTTTGCCTTTTTCAATTTTTTGATCTTTTACCTTTTAAATTTTTCATGTCTCGATTTTTTATTTTTCAATTCTTACATTTTAAATTGGAACTTTTTCGTTTTTACGATTTTTGGATATTTTAAATTTTGTTTTTTTTAGATTTTTCAAATTTTAGCATCTCTGTTTTGAAATTCACGGTTTTAATTTTTTTTCATTTCTCAATTTTAAATTTTTCAATTTTTTAAGGCAGGTCAGGGTCAGGTAATTTTCATTTTAGATTTTTCCAATTTTTGGAGATTTTTATTCTTGATTTTCTTAATTTTTCGAATTTTCTTTCTGGACTTTTAATTTTTCAATTTTACAGTTTCAAATTTTTAAATTTTTTCTTATAACTTTTAAATTTTTTAGTTTTCAGATTTTTTCGATTTTTGAATAACTTCATCGTTTGATTTCTTGATTTTGTAATTTTTCGTTTTTACGATTTTTGAATATTTTAATACTCCTTAATTTTTCGTATTTTGTTTCTCGATTTGAAATTTTTGGATTTGCAATTTTTGTATTTTTCGATTTCAAATATGTCGATTTTTATTGTTTACTTTTGAATTTTTCAACTTTTGAATTTTTGAATTTCTCGAGTTTTAATTTTTATTGTTTACTTTTGAATTTTTCAACTTTTGAATTTTTGAATTTCTCGAGTTTAATTTATCAGTATTTTTCCGATTTTTCAATAATTTGATCCTCTTTTTTACAATGTATAGGCTTTTTACCTTTGTATTTTTTTATTTTTCGATATTTAATTCTTCAATTTTCAGATTTATTGTTACAATTTATCAATTTTTAGATGTCTCGATTTTAATTTGGAAATTTTTCGTCTTTATGATTTTTGGATATTTTGAATCTGTTTTTATTTCTCAATTTTAAATTTTTCATTGACTCGATTTTTAATTTTTAAGTGTCTCGATTTTAAATTGTACCATATTTTAGAGGTCAAGTCAGGTCATTTTCATTTTTGTGTATTTACAGTTTTTGGAAATTTTTATACTTGGTTTTCTTAATTCTTCGAATTTTGTTTCTCGATTTGTAATTTTTCGATTTCAAATTTGTCGATTTTTATTGTTTATTTTGTATTTTTCAACTTTTAAATTTTTGATGTTCTCAATTTTTAATTTTTCAGTATTTTTCGGATTTTTCAATAATTTCATCCTTTTTACAATGTAGTTTTTGAATTTTTTAGTTTCTCGAATTTTAATTTTTTTATTTTCCGATTTTTCGTTGCAATTTTTAAATTTTTTGATTTATCAATTGCTGGACTTTTAATTTGTCAAATTCTGCATTTTAATTTTTAAATTTTTCGTTTTTACGATTTTTTGATGATTTTTTCAAATTTTCAAATTTTAGCATCTCTGCTTTAAATTCTCAATTTTAAATTTTTTCATTTTCACTGTCTCGATTTTACATTTTTTTCGAATTTTTCGGACAGGTCAAGTCAGGTCAGGTCATTTTAATTTTTGTGTTTTTACAATTTTTGGATATTTTATTTCTTGGTTTTCTTAATTTTTCTAATTTTGTTTCCCGATTTTTAATATTTCGGTTTTTCAATTTGAAATTTAAATTTTATTAAATTTTGAATTTTTCAACTTTTGAATTTTTGAATTTTTCGATTTTTAATTTTTTGTATTTTTCCGATTTCTTCAATAATTCCTTCGTTCGATTTCTTGATTTTGCAGTTTGTCGTTTTTACATTTTTGGAAATTTTAATTTTTGGTTTTCTCAATTTTTAGTATTTTGTTTTTCGATTTTAACTTTCTTCGATTTGAATTTTTCGATTTCAAACTTGTCGATTTTTATAGTCTACTTTTGAATTTTTCAACTTTTAAATTTTTGAATTTCTCGATTTTTTTTTCAGTTTTTTTCGGATTTTTCAATAATTTCATCCTTTTTACAATTTAATCTTTCAATTTTTTAGTTTCTCGATTTTTAATTTTTTTATTTTCCGATTTTTCGTTCCAATTTTTAAATTTTTTGATTTATCAATTGCTGGACTTTTAATTTCTCAATTTCTGTTTTTTAATTTTTAAATTTTTCGTTTTTACGATTTTTGGATGTTTTAGATTTAATTTTTTTTTTCGAATTTTCAAATTTTAGCATCTCTGTTTTAAATTCTCAATTTAAAATTTTTTCATTTTTCGATTTTTCATTTTCACTGTCCCGATTTTATATTTTTTTCGAATTTTTCGGACAGGTCAAGTCAGGTTAGGTCATTTTAATTTTTGTGTTTTTACAATTTTTGATATTTTATTTCTTGGTTTTCTTAATTTTTCTAATTTTGTTTCCCGAATTTTAATCTTTCGATTTTTTAATTTCAAATTTAAATTTTTTTAACTTTTGAATTTTGTTACCTTTGAATTTTTTAATTTCTCGATTATTAGTTTTTTAGTATTTTTCCGATTTTATCAATAATTTCATCGTCCGATTTCTTCAAAAATTTTAATTTTTGGTTTTCTCATTTTTTGGTCTTTTGTTTCTCGGTTTTAACTTTGTTCGATTTGAATTTTTCGATTTCAAACTTGTCGATTTTTATAGTCTACTTTTGAATTTTTCAACTTTTACATTTTTGAATTTCTCGATTTTTTATTTTTCAGTATTTTTCGGATTTATCAATAGTTTCATCCTTTTTACAATTGAATCTTTCAATTTTTTTGTTTCTCGATTTTTAATTTTTTTATTTTCAGATTTTTCGTTCCAATTTTTAAATTTTCTGATTTATCAATTGCTGGCCTTTTAATTTCTCACTTTCTGTTCTTTAATTTTTAAATTTTTCGTTTTTACGATTTTTTGAAGTTTTAGATTTTTTTTTTCAAATTTTCAGATTTTAGCATCTCTGTTTTAAATTCTCAATTTTAAATTTTTTCGTTTTTCGATTTCTCATTCTCACTGTCTCGATTTTATATTTTTTTCGAATTTTTCGGACAGGTCAAGTCAGGTCAGGTGATTTTAATTTTTGTGTTTTTACAATTTTTGGATATTTTATTTCTTTGTTTTCTTAATTTTTCTAATTTTGTTTCCCGATTTTTAATTCTTCGATTTTTTAATTTCAAATTTCAGTTTTTTTAAACTTTTGAATTTATCAACTTTTGAATTTTTGAATTTCTCGATTTTTAATTTTTTAGTATTTTTCCGATTTCTTCAATAATTTCATGTTCGATTTCTTGATTTTGCAATTTGTCGTTTTTACATTTTTAGAAATTTTAATTATTTTTGGTTTTTGTCAGTTTTTGGTATTTTGTCTCGATTTTAACTTTCTTCGATTTGAATTTTTCGATTTCAAACTAGTCGATTTTTATAGTCTACTTTTGAATTTTTCAACTGTTAAATTTTTGAATTTCTCGAGTTTTAATTTGGACGATTTTTGGATATTTTAAATCTGTTTTTATTTTTCAATTTTCAATTTTTCATTGACTCGATTTTTAATGTTTAAGTGTTTCCATTTTAAATTTTACGATATTTTAGAGGTCAGGTCATGTCATTTTCATTTTTGTGTATTTACAGTTTTTGAATATTTTAATTCTTGGTTTTCTTAATTCTTCGAATTTTGTTTCTCGATTTGTAATTTTTCGATTTCAAATTTGTCGATTTTTATTGTTTACTTTGAATTTTTCAACATTTAAATTTTTGAATTTCTGGATTTTTAGTTTTTCAGTATTTTTCAAATTTTTCAATAATTCCATCCTTGTTACAATTGAATCTTTCATTTTTGTAGTTTCTCGATTTTTCGTTCCAATTTTTAAATTTTTTGATTAATCAATTGCTGGACTTTTAATTGGTCAATTTCTGTATTGTAATTCTTAAATTTTTCGTTTTTACGATTTTTCATTTTCACTGTCTCGATTTTATATTTTTTTCGAATTTTTCGCACAGGTCAAGTCAGGTCAGGTGATTTTAATTTTTGTGTTTTTACAATTTTTGCATATTTTATTTCTTGGTTTTCTTAATTTTTCTAATTTTGTTTCCCGATTTTTAATTTTTCGATTTTTCAATTTCAAATTTAAATTTTTTTAACTTACTTTTGAATTTTTGAATTTCTCAATTTTTAATGTTTTAGTATTTTTCCGATTCCAATTTTAAATTGTTTCATTTTTCGATTTTATATTTTTTTCGAATTCTTCGGACAGATCAAGTCAGGTCAGGTGATTTTAATTTTTGTGTTGTTATAATTTTTGGATATTTCATTTCTAGTTTTTTTTCATTTTTCTAATTTTGTTTCCGGATTTTTAATTTTTCGATTTTTCAATTTCAAATTTAAATTTTTTTAACTTTTGAATTTTTCAACTTTGGAATTTTTGAATTTCTCGATTTTTAATTTTTTAGTATTTTTCCGATTTCTTCAATAATTTCATCGTCCGATTTCTTGAGTTTGCAATTTGACGTTTTCACATTTTTGGAAATTTTAATTTTTGGTTTTCTCATTTTTTGGTATTTTGTTTCTCGATTTTTACTTTCTTCGATTTGAATTTCTGAATTTCTCGATTTTTTTATTTTGAGTATTTTTCGGATTTATCAATAATTTCATCCTTTTTACAATTTTATCTTTCAATTTTTTAGTTTCTCGATTTTTAATTTTTTTATTTTCCGATTTATCAATTGCTGGCCTTTTAATTTCTCAATTTCTGTATTTTAGTTCTTAAAGCTTTCGGTTTTACGATTTTTGGATGATTTAGATTTAATCTTTTTTTTTTAATTTTCAAATTTTAGCAGCTGTTTTTTAAATTCTGAGTTTTATGTTTTTTCATTATTCGATTTTTCATTTTCACTGTCTGGATTTTATATTTTTTTCGAATTTTTCGGACAGGTCAAGTCAGGTCAGGTCAGTTTAATTTTTGTGTTTTTATTTTTCGATTTTTCAATTTCAAATTTCAATTTTTTTTAACTTTTGAATTTTTGAATTTCTCGATTTTTTAGTATTTTTCCGATTTCTTCAATAATATCATCATTCGATTTCTTGATTTTATACAATTTGTCGTGTTTACGTTTTTGGAAATTTTAATTTTTGGTTTTCTCAATTTTTGGTATTTTGTTTCTCGATTTTAACTTTCTTCGATTTGAATTTTTCGATTTCAAACTTGTCGATTTTTATAGTCTACTTTAAAATTTTTCAACTTCTAAATTTTTGAATTTTCCCTTTTTTTTTTATTTTTCAGTATTTTTCCGGTTTTTCAATAATTTCGGCCTTCATTTTACAATTTATAGGTTATTTAATTTTGTGTTTTTAAATTTCTCGATATTTTAGCTTTTGAATTTTTCAATTTCTCGATTTTTAATTTTTCAATTTTCAGATTTTTCGTACCTGTTTTTCAGTTTTTAAGTTTTTCATTTACTCGATTTTTTACTTTTCAGTTTCCCGATTTAAATTTGGAATTTTTTCATTTTTACAATTTTTGGATATTTTAAATGTTCCTCGGTTTTAAATGTTTTCATTTCTGGATTTTTTTTACTTTTTAGTGTCTCTATTTGAATTTTTTCGATTTTTTAGGACAGCTCAGGTCAGGTCATTTGGTTTCTCGATTTTTAATTTATCGATTTTTCAATTTGTTTTTAACTTTGCGATTTTTCAATAATTTCATCTTTCGATTTCTTGATTTTGCAATTTTTCATTTTTATTACAGGTATTTTAACTTTTGTTTTTTTCAGTCATTGCATTTTTAGTTTCTCGATTTTTATTTTCCGTTTTTTTAATTATGCCATTTTTCTTTCCAATTTTTCAATTTTTAATTTTTTCAATTGTTCGATTTTGAATTTCTCAATTTCCCGACTTTAATTTTCCAGTGTCTGGATTTTAAATTTTTTATATCAATATGGATGTTTCAAGTGAGTTTTTCCATTACAAAATTTTGAGATGACGTCAATTTTTCAGGGGCTATAAATGCTTACGATAAACTTAAAATGTTTGTAAGAATCCACAGCATTCGGTTTTGAAATTTCAAATTGTGTAAAATGTTGTTATTAATTTTTGATTTTTTTTTCAAATCAGTATGACTCGTGTCAAAAATCAAGACAGATTCATAAACCACAAGTGTAGTAATATGTTATTTCATAAAATTTAAATCACATTTACTAAGCGACATTTTTAGGCGCATTTCCAATACAGACACATCTAATTATTTAGCAATATTTTTAGATGACGTCATCGACTATCCACTATCTACTATTAATTAATATTGAACTGAGTACTTGGAAAGTTCTTGTTCCGTGGATTTTAAGTTTTGGATATTTTCTGAAAGTGTAGATAATTAAATTTATTATAATTTTAATCGTGTCGGTATCACTCTTAAAAAAATCACACAAACAAAAGTGTTTCTTAGCCTGATCCTTCGGGTTTTATCCTAAAATAAAATGTTTTTTTTTCTGTATTAGTAATTCAGTATTTACTTTACTTTTTTAAAATTGTCTGTACAGGATGTTTAAAAAAAATTATGTACTCTAAAATCAGATCACGTCGTCATCGGTGACTAAAACTTTTTACACAGAATGATTTACAACAATTATTGATGAAATGATTTATTTTATCGATTAATATCTTCAACAAAAATTCTTGTAATTTCTGGAAACACATGCAACAAAACAAAATATACTAATTAATCTAACAATCATTTTAGAGTCATCTTATTTTCCTCAAAATTAAATAAAAATCACTTAATAATTAACTTAAACAATCATTGTAGGTCATCATGTCATTAATGAAAAACAAAAATAACAGAGGACCAATAAGACTTCTCTTTGAGACCCCTCGTGTAAAAATCAAAAAATTCTCTCATACATATATCAGCTTAAAAAATAGATCTAACAATAAAATTGTTGTGTAAACCATTGCATAATTAATGAATTCTTATACTCCTAGTACACAATAAACAAATCGCTACATAAATGTCTACATTATTTTTATCAAAAACGAACGATCTAAAATTAGTAAAAATAATACAAAAACACAAGGAACTAATACAAACACATTGATGAATTCGCTTCTTCTGTAACATTTCTAGGTTCAGATTTTATTTCAAATACACGAAGCAATTACCAATCGTCCCCTAAATGAAAAATTCTTTCGTCTCCGAAGTCTTTTCCCGAGTTCGTTTGATTTTCTCGAAAAATAGTGTGACACTGGATTTACAGACCTGTCGCAATTAACATGAGTAAATCAGCACCAAAATTAAATTTAGAGGACTAAGCAAGAAGATAAATTTTAATTCTGCATGCAGAAATCGCCCCGGATTTCATTCCGCCTCGTTTTCCTGCTGTAGCTCACAGGCCGGGCCCATTCCACCGTAATTTGTCGACTGAAAATTATCAAGGATTCTGCAACAAAAGCCGTGTTAGTTATCTCAAATTGGACATAATTTTCGAAGCAACGCTGAACTCGTGAGTATTATTTCTGGCACGTATCGATGATGAGCGAAATTAAATAAAAATACCTGATCTTAATTTTTGCAGGGTTTTGTGCGCCAAATCCCGGTCCTTGAAGTGCACAAACGCATAATTTTCCCTTCTGTAGACCCTCTCTACGTGATAGCGATCCAGCACGGTCCACAAGAATCGCCTGAAATGGCGTTCTGTGCATTTGACGGGGATGTTTCCGAAGTACAGGGTTCTGATCTGAAAACAGTGTTCATGATGTTTTAAAAATAGGTGGGTGACACACGTCGTAACAATGGTGTGTTTCAGATGTATAATTTGTTATCGCAGGAGGAACGAGTGTGATCAGTTTATGTCTTTTACACTCGAACATGAGTAGGTTTGTGATTATGATTTGTTCACCGGAGTTCGGTTCCGGCACGTCTTCCTGAAGGACGGTTCCGGGATGTGTTTCACGTTCCGAGAAATTGTGTTGTCGGAGCAGAGTTCCTTTCGACATTACGTGCCATATTTCTCTATAATTTCGTTTGGTTTTTATTAAGGAAAATAAAAGTTTATTTAATTATGACTTATTGTTTTGAATATTTATTTTAAAAAACTAGTAGATTTCTGCAAAAATTACAACTTATTAATTTTATTTTGATTCGATTTTAATTAGCTTATTAGCCACTGATTACTGTGTGATTTTATCTACATTTGTTAGCTGAATTTATTAAAGTTAAATTAGTTATAACCCGTTTTTCATAATTCGAGTGATGACCTGATGACTTTGGCAGATCGGGCAAAATTGCCGAATTTGTACTGTTTTAATAATAATATTAGATTGTTAAATTCTGAAACTACTGTACCGATTACTTTGACATTTATTTTCTTGTTCTTCCATGAACTGAAAATATTGTTCACTAAATCTCAACAGGGCACGTTAATTTCCGTGTGATATAAGTATTTTTGATTATTTTTAAAATTTATGTTTGGAATTACACAAAAATGTTCTTTCAGAATTAATTTCATTGAAGTAGGAATTGGAACGTTAGTTGATTTACCCATATGTTATTATTATTGTTATGTAGCCTGTCATCTCATTTTCCATAATTTTTAAAAAAAAAATCTTGATCCGGGAGCGCCAATTCCCCTAAATGTATCTCCCGGATTTTTTTGAGGATTTTTAGACAACTTTTGAAATATTGCATTTCTTGATCGCTTTTCGAGCACCTTTCTTGTAGATTTCAACTTGTAGAAGTTATTTTCAGCTTCATTCAGCAGTTTTCGAGGTATTTAAAAAATTTCAGTTCAAAATCAAATTTTTCGAAACTCTTAGTCCTGGACCATCACCACGTTTTTTTCTTTGGAACCAGATTGTCGAAATGCTTTTCCCAGAATTTTTTGAGAATTTTTAGGCAACTTTTTCAAATTCCGATTTTTTTTTTAATTTTTTGACTATTTTTCGAGGTACTTTTCAAAAAATTCCTATTCTAATTTTTGGTAGATTTCGAATTGTAAAACTAATTTTTCCAGAAACGATAAAATGAAACATCACGATATTTGAGTTTTGATTTCAAACCGAATTTTTCGAAACTTTTTTCGAAATGTTTTTCCCAAATTTTTTTTTTTTTGGATTATCAGACAACTTTCCAAAAATGTAATTTTTTTATTTATCCTTCGTTATATTTTTTATGGTTTTTCAAATTTTAAAGATATGCATATAAAAAATTTCGTTTTCAAACCGAAGTTTTGAAATTCTTGATCCGAGGCCACCAACACGTTATATTTTTCGAATCAGTTCATCGAAATGTTTCCAAAAGTCTTTGAGGGTTTTTAGGCATATTTATCAAAAAAATTTAACGTTCCGATACACCTTAGTATTAAAATTTAACGGTATTTTGACCATCAGAGGTTTTGAGAATTTTCGGCAAATTTTCAAAAATTCTCAACATTCCTATACCCTCTGTATAAATTTGTTGAGCGTTTTTAGAATTTTAGAGAAATCTAAATTTACAACAGAATTTTTACAAAACTTAGTCCAGTTCCACCAACACCTTATGTTTTTGGAATTAGTCCATCGAAATGTATTAGCTAGAACTTTTTGAGGATTTTTAGACAATTTTCCAAAATTTTAAAATTTTTCTTCCCCCTGAATTTCTTTATGGTTTTTCGAAATTTAGATCTGTGTATAAAAAAATTTCAGCCTCAAAACGAATTTTTCGAAAATCTTGGTCTTTTCCAGAATTTTTGAAAATGAAGTTGATCAAAATCGATTTCCCAGAATTTTTTGGGGAGGCAACTTTTTAAAAATCCGAATTTTTCGGTACCTCCCCCCTGTTTTGATTTTTTTTTTCGATTTTTCGAGTACCTTTGGAACACTATCTATAATCATTTTTTTGTAGATTTCTACTTGTAAAAGTAGTAGTAGTTTCAGACCGAATTTTTCTAAAATTTTGGTTCTGGATCATCATCATTCATCTTTTTGGAATCATCCCGTCTAAATGTTTTCCAGGACTTTTTAGGATTCGCAGACAACTTTTAAAAAATTTCGATTTTTTAATTATAATTTTTTTATGGTTTTTCAAATCTTAACCGAATTTTACGAAATTCTTGATCCGAGGAGATCAACACATCATATTTTTCGAAACAGTTTATCGAAACGTATATATGTCCCAAATTTTTTTGAGGATTTTAGACAAATGTTCAAAAACTCTCAACTTTCCTATACCTCCTGTATGAGTGTTTTGGCCGTTTTTCGAATTTTAGAGATACTTACAGATATAACTTTCTAATAAAATTTTTCCAAATCTTGGTCTGGGTCCATCAACACTTTATGTTTTTAGAATTAGTTCAACGAAATTTATTACCTGAAACTTTTTGAGGACTTTTAAACAATTTTCCAAAATTTCAAAATTTTTCTTGTCTTTTCTTTTGAATTTTTTACTACTTTTCGAATAACTTTCGAAAACTATTTATAAATGGTGTGTTGCAGAAAATTTAGAGGAAAATTCCAACAGTTTTTCCAGATTTAATTAAATAACCAATTACAATTTTTGAATTTTTCATCGCTTTTCGAGCCCCTTCCTTGTAGATTTCAACGGGAGCCATCAATACGTTATATTTTTCGAATGAGTTCATTAAAATATATTTTCCAAAATTTTGTGAGGTATTTAGGCAGATTTTCAAAAATTCTCAGCTTTCCTATGTATGTCCTTAGTACAATTTTTGAGCGTTTTCTGTGTTTTAGAAATATGTACTTAAAAACATAATTTTCAATCGGAATTTTTGGAAAATCTTGCTCCGGGTCCAACAACACCTTGTCGGTCAACAGAGGGTATCTGTATAAATTTGTTGACCGTTTTTCGAATTTTACAGATATCTAAAGATATAAACTTCTAACAGAATTATTCAAAAATCTTATTTCGGATTCACCAACGGCTTATGTTTTTGGAATTAGTCCATCGAAATGTGTTAGCTAGAACTTTTTAAGATTTTTTAGACAATGTTCCAAAACTTCCAACATTTTTCTTGCCCCTGAATTTCTTTATAGTTTTTCGAAATTCAGATCTATGTATAAAAAATTTCTGTTTCAAAACAAATTTTTCGAAAATCTTGGTCTTCTTCAGAATTTTTGAACATGAAGTTTTTTGAGTTCTAGAGATACATATAAAGAAAAATAATTTTCAAGCAGAATTTTTACAATAATTTTGATAGGGGGCTACTAACACTTTATATTTTTCTGGGGGATTTTATACAACTTTTAGTATTTAATTTTTTTTTTCGATTTTTCGAGTACCTTTCGAACCCTATTTATAATCATTTTTTTGTATATTTCTACTTGTAAAAATTAAAAAAAAAATTGTAGATGTTTTTTAAAAATTTCAGTTTCAGACCGAATTTTTCCAAAGTCTTGGTTCGAGATCATCATCATACAACTTTTTGGAATTATCCCGTCGAAATGTTTTTCCCGGATTTTTTTAGGATTGGCAGACAACTTTTAAAAAATTCCAATTTTTTTAAGTATAATTTTTAATAGTTTTTCGAATTTTAGAAATCGGCATAAAAAATTTCGTTTCCAAACCGAATTTTACGAAATTTTTATTAACATATTATATTTTTCGAAACAGTTTATCGTAATATATTTTCAAAAATTCTCAACTTTCCAATACCCCTTGTATGAATTTTTTGGTTGTTTTTCGAGTTTTAGAGACGTATAAAGATACAATTTTCTAATAGGATTTTTCGAAAATCTTGGTCCAGGTCCATCAACACCTTATATTTTTGGAATGAATTTATCCAGATTTATTACTCAGAACTTTTTGAGGATTTTTAGGCAATTTTCAAAGATTTCAAAATTTTTCTTGCCCCTCCTTTTGAATTTTTTTACCACTTTTCGACTACCTTTCGATCTGTTGTAGATTTCGACTCGTAGAAGTTCTTTTCGGCTTCATTTGTTCGAAAATTCCGAGGACAATTCCACCAGATTTTTTTTTTAAATTGTGAGACAGCTTCTCAAAAATTTCAGTTCCAAACCGAATTTTTCGAAACTCTTGGCCCTTTCCAGAATTTTTGAAGATTACTGGGCAACTTTACAAAAATCTCAATTTTCGGCATTTTTTTGAGTTTCAGAGAGAGATATATGTATAAAGAAAAATCATTTTCAAACAGGTTTTTTTGAAAATTTTGATCGCGGACTACTAACACGTTATATTGTTTGAATCAGTTCATCGAGATGTATTTCCCACAATGTTTTAAGAATTTTTGGGCAAACTTTCAAAAATTCACAATTTTTGTATGAATTTTTTGACGATTTTAGAAATATAGCTATATAAAAAAATAAAAATAATAAATCTTGAGCGGAGGCCATCAACACGTTATATTTTTTCCAATTAGTTCATTCAAATATATTTCCCAAAATTTTTTTAAGAATTTAGGCAAACTTTCAAAATTCTGACGATTTTTTGAGCGTTTTCTGAGTTTTACGAATGTATAAAAACATGGTTTTTGAATCGGAATTTTTCGAAAATCTTGGCTAGGGTTCATCAACATTTTATCTTTTTTCAAAATGTATTTCCCAGAATTTTTTGAGAATTTTTAGGCAACTACCTATAGTCATTTTCTTGGTTCACCAAGTTTTTTTTTGGAATCGTCTTATTGAAAAGTTTTACCCAGATGTATTTAGGATTTGCACAAAAATTTTTCAAAAATTTCATTTTTTTTTATTATCCCGCGTTATACATTTTTTATGGTTTTTGAATTTTAGAGATCTGTCTATAGAAAATTGCGTTTTCAAACCGACTTTTTCGCCGTTCTTATTCTGACTTTTGACCGTTTTGCGAGTTTTAGTGATATCTAAAAATATAATTTTCTAACAAAATTTTTCGAAAATCTTGGTCCATCAACAACTCACGTTTTTGGAAATAGTCCGTCGAAATATAATATTACCCAGAACTTTTTCGAATTTCAGGCAATTTTTCAATTAGATTTCGACTTGTAGAAACTATTTTTGGGTTCATTTGTTCGAAAATTCCGAAGAAAATTCCAGCATAACAATTATTACAATTTTTCAGATTTTTTAGTATTTTTAGACAGCTTTTAAAAAATTTCATGTTTTTAATATTCCCCATATAAATTTCGGTTTTTCGAAATTCAGGCTTAAGTACATAAAACATTCCAGTTGCAAACGGAATTTTTCGAAAATCTTGATCTTTCCCAGAATTTTTAAAGTTATCTAGGCAATTTTACCTAAGCCCCAATTTTTGAATAGACCCTGTATGAATTTTTTGACCCTTTTTGGTTTTAAATATACATAGAAAAATCAAAATGTATTTTTTAGGATTTTTCAGAACTTCAGGCAAATTTACAAAATTCCAATTTTTTAATACATTTTGAATTTTTTTACCGTTTTGCAAGTAGTTTTTCAATACTGCCTAAAGTCATTTTCTTGTAGATTTTGACTTGTAGAAGCTATCTTCATCTTCATTTGTTCAAAAATTCCGGGGGAAATTCCAACAGTTTTTTCAGAATCAATACAATGAACAATTACAATTTTCCAGATGTTCTTTTTTAGGATTGTTAGACAGCTTTCCAAAAATTTAAATTTTTCAATATCCCCCGTATGAATTTCTTAAGTGTATACAAAAATTTCAGTTTCAAACCGAATTTTTCAAAAAACTTGGTCTTCTCCAGAATTTTTTAAGACATCTAGGCAATTTTACCAAAATCCCAATTTTTGAATACCCCTTGTTTGAATTTTTTGACCGTTTTTTAAGTTTTATATAAAGAAAAACCATTTCCAAACAGAATTTTTTGAAAATTCTGGTCCGGGGCTATCAGCACGTTATATTTTTCGAATCAGGTCATCGAAGTGTATTTCTCAGAATGTTTTCAGAATTTTTAGGCAAATTTTAAAACAATCTCAATTTTAATATTTTTTGCATGAATTTTTTGATAGTTTTTCACGTTTTATAGATAATGAAAAATATCATTTCAAACCGAATTTTTTTAGATATTGTTTTTCGAAATATATTTCTCACAATTTTTCAATATATTTCCAAAAACCTCTTCCAAAAATTTTTCAATACTGTTTCAATTTTTTTACCGTTTTTGAAGTACTTTTCAAATCCCGCCTAAAGTTATTTTTTTGTAAACTTCGACTTACAGAAGAAAATTTCAGCGATTTTGCTAGAATCGACAAGTGACAATATCGAGATACATATTTAAAAAACAATAATTTTCAAACTAAATTTATGGAAAATTTTGGTCCGGAACTATTATCACATAATGTTTTTCGAATCTGAAATTTCTTAGAGTCTAATTTTTTAGTCTTTAATTTCATTGATAGAGAACTCATAAGAATGAATTAAAACTTTCGACATTGTGATTTCAACAGATTTTTAAATTTTTCATTACATATGATAGTTATTAAAGAAGCAAATCAAGTTGGCTTTGAAACGTAAATTTTGCCGTCTTGTTGTAATGATGGATCACTAGTCATTACCTGTCATAAATGTCAGTTAAAACCTAAATTTTAAGCATTTATTTGTGTATTTACTGCCTGATATATAGGCAACTAATAATTCACGAAATCTTATTAAAAATCCAGTCACAAATTTTCCAAATACATTTCATTAAGTTTTCTTAACCTAGTGACTTTTGAAATTTAAAGATATTGCAGAAATGCCACTTCCTAGCAATGGTGGATCTTTTAAAAGTTTTAATTAATATGGTTAACATGACCTAACTTGACCTGACCTGCTCTAACCTGACATTCTGTCAACACAGCACCCTTATATGTTAGACGTGAAGTTAGCCACAAAGAATTTTCTACCCCCGATTTTTTTCTAGAACAACTAAGTAAGACAAATAATAAATTTCATTACCTGCATAAGAATCACCGGATGCACCACCGGTTCCGGAAAGGCCCAATCCGCCACCATCCTCTTCCCCCACACACACTCACCCCCCATCGCCATCCTCTTCCTCGCAATGGCGGCCAGAACGTACGACTGGAACTCCACAAACGCGTATCCCCGGTTCAACCCCGGATTAGCCACCTCTTCGAACACCATAACCCGGACAACCCCATCAAAAACCCGGCACAACCTCCTCTCGATATTCTCGGCACTGGCATTCCTGGGGACGTTGCCCACGAAGAGCCTTCGCTTATCCCGCGATAAATGCACGCAGATAAACACCCCCGGCTTGACGGCGTGATTGTGTAGCAGCAGGACGGCGGCGGCGGCGGCTTCGGGGGTGTGGTAGCAGATAAAGGCGAAACCCCTGGTGCAGTCGTCAAAGTCCATCATGAGCCGGAGTTTGTAAATGGCCCCACATTGGGAGAACAGCGGGATGATCTCATCTTCGTGAATGTCTGGGGGGAGGTTGCCGACGAACACTTCGCTGCCTTTCGGGGGGGTGGGGATGGTGGGGTTGGGGAAGTGGATTTTTTGGCAGTTGGAGCGAAATGTGGGATGGGTGTTGAGTTGGGGCATTTTTGGCTGGTTTGAGGAGTTGGGATTTGTGTTGACTGTGGAGCGGCAAAGCTTTGACTGAGGAGAGTCGTTGGTGATGGGTCTTTGTGGTGGTTAGTTAGCCGCTCGATGCGGATGTGGCCGGTCGTAAATTGGTGGGGAAATGAAAAAGAAAACAACGGGTCAGGTGGTGTTTTGAAGGAGATAATTAATTTATTTTGGTTCAACTTTGCTTGGATGTAGTGTATTTAGGAAAATTTACGCAACACGGGGAGAATTGGTCATATACTTAAATTCTTATTAAAATTATTGCTATCAAAACCAGATACACTTGTTATTAGTACCCAACACAAATAACAAAATATTCTAAAGTATATGTCTTAATAAACATTCTTTTAATAAGTTTTAAGAAAATGTTAACAGCTTGCTAAGGAGACGAATGAATAAATTTTATAGTCTGTCATTTCTATTGAAACACCATTTGTTGATTGCAAATTTGGCAACGTTCATATTCAGACAATTTTCTAATTAAAAACCGTTCTCAATCAAACAAAATCGACAGGTGGTGTTTTAATAAAATTGGCAAAGACAATAGTCAGTATTGAGTGATCAGCTAACATACAACTGGCAACGTTGCCAATGTCAGTTTTAGTGAATTATTATTCTAGTGTGAAATAATTTATGGTTGTTTCATTTTATTTTCATTGAGAGTTTCTTTCCATTTTTAAAGTCCAAATTGACAAGAAGCTTTCAGTCTCTGCAGTGCCTATCTTAAAGTAAAAGACACTAGGAGCTCTCGAGATTATTTCGCGTTTTAGAAAAAAATACTCCAGGAGCCCCGAAGATTAAAAAAAAAAGACAATTAGGGAACACTAGATTTTTTAATTTTCTTTAAAAAAATACCGAGATTTTTTCGCTTTAAAAAAAATAACACAAAAACTCTCCGAGATTCTTTAGCCTTTTATACAAAAATAACACTAGGCTCTCCCGAGTTTCTTTAAGTTTTTCTTGAAAAAAGACATTTGGAGATTCTAAGATTCTTAGAAAATAAATAACACTAGGGCCTCTCGTGATTCTTTAAGTATCTCTTAAAACAAAGATTGGTCTTTAAAAAAAAAATAACATCAGGGCCTCCTGAGATTCTTTCACGTTTTAGAAAAAATTTACACCACTGGCTCCCAACATTAAAAACAAATGAAAATAGGGGACCCCGAGATTCTTTAATCTTAAAAAAAGACACTATGGGATCCCGAAATTCTTCCGCCTTTAAAAAAATTACATCAAGGTTCCCCGAAATTCTTTTATTTAAAAAAAAAAATTACACTAGGAGCCCCCGAGATTCTTTCGCCTTTTAAAAAAAAGTAACAATAAGATCCCCCGAGATTATTTCACCTTTTAGACAAAAATAACACTAGAGACTTGCGAGGTTCCTTAAGCTTCTCTTAAAAGAGACACTAGGAGCCCCCGAGATTTTTTCGCCTCTAAAAAAATAACACCAAGGCTTCCTCGAGATTCCTTGGCCTGTTAGAAAAAAATAACATCAGGGCCTCCTGAGATTCTTTCACGTTTTAGAAAAAAATTACACTACTGGCTCCCAACATTAAAAAAAATGAAAATAGGGGACCCCGAGATTCTTTAATGTTAAAAAAAGACACTATGGGATCCCGAAATTCTTTCGCCTTTAAAAATAAAGGTTACCCGAAATTCTTTTACCTTTAAAAAAAATGACACTAGGAGCTCCCGAGATTCTTGCGTCTTTTAGAAAAAAGTAATGGTAATAGTAATAGTAATAGGGGACTCCGAGATTTTTAAGTTTCCCTTAAAAAAAAAACACTAAGGGCTCACGATATTCTTTCTCCTTAAAAAAAAATAACACCAAGGCTTCCTCGAGATTCCTTGGCTTTTTAGAAAAAAATAACACCAGTGCCTTCTGAGATTCTTTCAGCTTCTGTAAAGGAAAAAGATACCAGGGTCTCCCGGGATTCTTTCGCATTCTAGAAAAAAATTACTCCAGGGACTCCCGACATTTAAAAAATGACAATAGGGGACCCCGAGATTCCTTAATCTTAAAAAAAGACACCAAGGGACGCCGAGATTTATTCGCCTTGAAAAAAATACCAAGGCTTCTTCGAAATTCCTTGACTTTTTAGAAAAAAATAACCCTAGGGCTTACCGATATTCTTTCACTTCTCTACAAAAAGAAAAAAGTAACAATAAAGTCGACCGAGATAATTTCGTCTTTTAGACAAAAATAATATTAGGATTATCCGAGTTTCTTTAAGCTTCTCTGGAAAAAAAGACATTAGGGAACTCTTAAGATTCTTTCGCGTATTAAAAAAAATAACACTAAGGCTCCTCAAGATTCTTAGAAAATAAATAACACTAGGCCTTACGAGATTCTTTTAGCTTCTCTTAAAAAAAGCACTAGAGGCCTCCAAGATTCTTTCGCTTTTTAGACAAAAATAACAATAAGGTTTTCTAGACAAAAGTAACACTAATGAGTTCCGAGATTGTTTACTTTAAGCTTTTCTTAAAAAGACACTAGGGTTCCGCTAGATTCTTTCTCGTTTTAGAAAAAAATTATACCAGGGATTCCTAAGATTTAAAAAATGACAATAGGAGACCCCGAGATTCTTTCCGATTCTGGAAAAATCTAAGGAATTATCGATGAACTGTTGTTGTAGGTAAATTTAGGAGATTCAAGTTAACTAAAATGATTTTTCTGGTATTTTTTGGATCGTTTTCTGGAGCGACTAAAAAATTCAATTTTTTTCAATTATCGCAAAAATGAGATTTTTTTTTCAAATATGTGAAAAATTGCCAACTAATTCTGAAAACTAGACCTCGACCAGCTAAATCGAAAAAGATATGTATTAAAGGCTCCGGACAACGATTAGAGCCGGAAGCTGAAAATTATAGATCAATTAATACACTTTTCTTAAAGGACCTATTTATCTTCACTCCGGAAAAATTGCACTTCAAAAATTACAAAAAAATTCGTTGTGATACAGGAATGCCATATCTATTAGAATAAAAATCTCAAAGTGATTACGATTCCTGGTTTTTGAAATATCGGTCTTCAAAATCAAATTTTTAGAATATCTCAAAATTTGCCATAATTTTTTTCACCGATTTTGGAAAAATGTTAGCAATTATCGATAAACTAATCCTGTAGGTAATTTCAGGACGTGAAAGTTAACCGAAAGGAATTTTCTGGTATTTTTTGGACCAATTTCTAAAATATAAAAATTCAAATTCTCTGAATTACTGAAAAAATGAGCTTTTTCTTACAGTGGGTGAAAAATCTTAAAAAAAACCTGAGAGCTAGATCTCGACCAGCTAAATCTAAAAAGATATATATTAGGGGCTCCGAGAAAAAAAATTATAGGTTAGTTGTTAAAGGTCCCTTTCTTAAAGCATGTATTTATCGTCACTAGGGAAAACCGACACTTTAAAAATTACCAAAAAATTCACTGTTACACAAAAATAACATATCTATTATAATAAAAATCTCAAAGCAGTTACGACGACTAGTTTTTGAAATATCGGTCCTCAAAATCAAATTTTTAGAATATCTCAAAATTTGCAACATTTTATTTGAACAATTTTGTAAAAATGTTAGGAATTATCGATGAACTAATGCTATAGATAACTTCAGGAGGTAAAAGTTAACCGAAAGGAATTTTCTAGTATTTTTTTGGACCATTTTCTGGGAAAATCAAAAACTTCAAATTCTCTCAAATATTGAAAAATGAGCTTTTTCTTACAGTGGATGAAAAATCGCTAAAAAATTCTGAGAGCTAGATCTCGACCAGCCAAATCGAAAAAGATTTGGCTGGTCGAGGCTCCGTACAAAGATGAGAGCCGGAAGCTGAAAATTATACGTTAGTTGTTAAAGGCACCTTTCTTAAAGCATGTATTTATCGTCACTAGGGAAAACCGACACTTTAAAAATTACCAAAAGATTCACTGTGACACAGAAATGGCATGTCTATTACAATAAAAATCTCAAAGCAATTACGACTACTAGTTTTTGAAATATCGGTCCTCAAAATCAAATTTTTAGAATATCTCAAAATTTGCAACATTTTATTTGAACAATTTTGTAAAAATGTTAGGAATTATCGATGAACTAATGCTATAGATAACTTCAGGAGGTAAAAGTTAACCGAAAGGAATTTTCTAGTATTTTTTTGGACCATTTTCTGGGAAAATCAAAAACTTCAAATTCTCTCAAATATTGAAAAATGAGCTTTTTCTTACAGTGGATGAAAAATCGCTAAAAAATTCTGAGAGCTAGATCTCGACCAGCCAAATCGAAAAAGATATATATTAGAGGCTCCGTACAAAGATGAGAGCCGGAAGCTGAAAATTATACGTTAGTTGTTAAAGGCACCTTTCTTAAAGCATGTATTTATCGTCACTTGGGAAAACCGACACTTTAAAAATTACCAAAAGATTCACTGTGACACAGAAATGGCATGTCTATTACAATAAAAATCTCAAAGCAATTACGACTACTAGTTTTTGAAATATCGGTCCTCAAAATCAAATTTTTAGAATATCTCAAAATTTGCAACATTTTATTTGAACAATTTTGTAAAAATGTTAGGAATTATCGATGAACTAATGCTATAGATAACTTCAGGAGGTAAAAGTTAACCGAAAGGAATTTTATAGTATTTTTTTGGACCATTTTCTGGGAAAATCAAAAACTTCAAATTCTCTCAAATATTGAAAAATGAGCTTTTTCTTACAGTGGATGAAAAATCGCTAAAAAATTCTGAGAGCTAGATCTCGACCAGCCAAATCGAAAAAGATATATATTAGAGGCTCCGTACAAAGATGAGAGCCGGAAGCTGAAAATTATACGTTAGTTGTTAAAGGCACTTTTCTTAAAGCATGTATTTATCGTCACTAGGGAAAACCGACACTTTAAAAATTACCAAAAAATTCACTGTGACACAGAAATGACATGTCTATTACAATAAAAATCTCAAAGCAGTTACGACTACTAGTTTT